TCTCTTCTGTCTTCATTTCGTCCGTCTCATCTTTCTCACCCGAACCACCACCCACCCATTCCCACGATTCCTGAAAGCAGGCTGAAGAGGGTCTTCCGCCCTACCTTCCGGCATAGTCCGGAGAGACTGCCCCGCCCACCAGCATTACTGGCTGGTGGGAATGAATCACCCAAAAGTTTTAAAGCTTTTTTTTGTTCTGACGTCTAATCAAAAAGTCGCAGTTTTTTCTGAATTCTCTACATCTTCCTGGTTCGAGAATGTTTTAGAATTCCCTAGAAGGTTCCAAAACATTCTTAAATGATAACTAATTAATCCTGCGCGTAACGAGGATAATCTGGCTTGTATGATATTTTTGAGTATTATTAATTGTGTTTAACAACATAATATTAAATGTTTTTAAATTTTAATACTAGTCACGCGCCAATGTTAAATACTGTATGCAGGAACAAATTAATTTAAGTCTGAGCACGTACAAAGGTGACATAAACATTAAACATAATAACAAAATAAGGTTCAATATTATATCGTTCTTATCTTCGTAGACAAAAATGTTTCAGGATGACGAATGGGTTATTTTTTCATTAATTGATTGAAACGTTAACGAATAAACAAGCAAAATTAATAATAAATTCGTATTTACAATGTCCAAATAGGTTTTGATGCAATTATTGCAGGATCGTGTTAATTTTATTATTGCAATTCTAAATTAGCAAAAATCAGGTACATACATATTTTAAAAAATAATAAATCAACGGAAAATGACGTAAATAAATATTTGAATCAACTACAGTGCTGATAAGATAAATACAGTAAGTGTATAGTATTATTGACATGTTCAAAAGGTTATAAGAGTGATAAAAAAATTTTTAGTCATAATAAGAACAAAATCATTAAGTTCTTGGTCAGCACTTTAGTTAAATCAGCAGATATGGATTTTAGTTAAACCGAAGCGGAAAGGATAATTTTATCATTATGAGGGTGATGATGACAACTAAAAAGGAAACACAACAGTCCTGTGCGGGATAAGCGATCGCGCATCAATTGCGGTAATATCATTTGTGAAGAAAAACCCTCCTTGTGTTATTACTAGGTCTTTTCAAAAAATCGGTTGTCTGTAAAGTCGGTTTACTGACGATAATTGAACGTGACAATATCATAAGAAAATACTAATGGAATGGTTTCATTTTTCAAAAGAAAATTTTAATTTTATTTGTTTGATAGATATTTTGTATAGATATAGAGAAGGAGGTAAATGGAAATGTATTATTGTATAGCAACTGTCCACGCGGACGCATCGCTCACTCAAGTAGGAGAGAGACAGATGTCGAACGCTGCCGAACGCGGAGGCCGATTGTGCCTCTTTGTCGCTCGTTCCGCGCTCTCGCTTGCACTTCAAGCCTTAAATGGAACGCCTCAGAGCGAGGTAACGCCGCATGAGTCATGTTTTTTCGTGCGTGCAGTCGGCTCCATCGAATTATAAGACGTTGTCACGTCAAAAGTATTGCAAATTTTGAATATACCGACAAGTTCGACCATGTTGAATGTTCAGTTAATTTTTGACAGCTGCTTGCATGCACGTGTTTTGGCTCGTCTTCGATTTTTTCCTATCCCAAAAAAATTGATCAAAAAATCTGTATCGAGAAGATGTGAACGATGAAGAGCGTGCTGGACGCCCGAGCACGTCAACAACAGATGAAAACTATGATGAAGTGAATCGTCAAATTACCGTTAGAGAAGTTGCTGAGGACTTAAACATATCGATTGGCTCTTGCTGTTCGATTTTTACCAATGATTTGGGCATGAGACGAGTCGTCGCGAAATTAGTACTAAAATTGCTCAATTTCGACCAAAAACAGCATTGCATTAATATTGCTGAGGAGCTGTCGGACTCTGTTCGCGACAACCGAAATTTGCTCCAGAGGGTCATAACTGATGACGAAACATGGGTTTATGGTTATGACGTAGAAAGCAAAGCTCAGTCATCCCAATGGAAGCTGCCGCACGAGCCAAGACCGAGAAAAGTGCGCCAAGTTAGGTGGAATGTGACGGTTTTTTCTTCGATTGTAGGGGCGTGGTGCATCATGAGTTCTTGCCACAGGTTAGAATGGTCAATAAGGATAACGCCCCCGGTCACACATAGCTTGTGCGCGAATTTTTGGCCAGAAGCAATACACTATTAATGCCGCAGTCACCGTATTCCCCAGATCTGGCCCTTTGTGACTTTTCTTGTTCTCGAAACTGAAGAGGCCCATGAAAGGGCGACGCTACGCTTCGATTGAGGAGATAAAGAGAGCATGGAAGGAGGAGATGAACAAGATTACAATTTCTAGTAGGAATTACTTTGAAGGAGACAAAATAGATCATCATCATCATGAGGTCGTCAGTCCTAAGACTGGTTGGACACGTACCTCCACTCTTTCCTATCCTGAGCAAACTTCGCATTACTCTAAAACTAGAACATCCCACATCTTTAACTATTTGCGAACAGTAATCTAATCTAGATATGAAGATTGGAAAAACTTTGGCGGTTGTTGTAGAACAAACAGAATAGCTCAAAACCCCAACGCAAAAACACGAAACTGTAGTTGTCCGAAGCACTTTTCTGTAACAAAGTTACCTTCTTCAGGGACTGAAGTAAACTAAACCTAAATGAGACCTAATCCTAATTTTTACTGATAGTTGTTAAGGTTCAGTGAACATGACCCGATGCCAACAAGGTAGATGTTCAATGGACCATAACAATCATAAACGTAATTAAACTAGACTAAATAGCGGAGATCCAGGGATAGGACCGTTGTCATTGTTAAGAACAATTTGTTTATTTTTATAAATGTATAAACTTTAAAAACTGTCTAGTAAACGATTATTCCTAACTTCCTTAACTAACTTAAGATTATTAATATTAATATTATGTTCATCAGTAAGAAATATGTTGGGCAACACTAGATTTTTCTTCTCTACCTAACCTAGCATGAGCTAGATGTTCCTTCAATCTAGTTTTGATTGAGCGTCTAGTTCGTCCAATATATTTTTTACTACAGTCATTACAACTAATTTCATATATCCACGACAAGCAATCCGTAAACCAAGTTTTCGAAACATACCCTCGAGTCCGCGAATAAATCTTGGCTCGTATGGCATACTAATAAACTTGGTCTTATTAGCATCTGTTTGAAAAGTCGTAGATCTTGAAATAAAATTCCTAAATTTTATATTATTAATTAATTTATCAATAATGTTACAATTGTAACCATTGTCTTTTGCAATTTTCTTAATTGTACAGAGTTCCNGTAATCTAATCTAGGTCTACCTCTACCCCTCCTAACTCCTGTTTCTGCCTCTAATATGTCTTTGACTAGACCTTTATGTCTGAATAAATAAATAATTGTTGAAAAAACACAAATTTCGAGGTACTTTTGGAACAGACCTCGTACATGTGCTTTAGCAGATGCGGATGAGGCTGCGAACTTTAGGGGGGTTAAGCTTGCGAATATGAATGAGGGTGCGGATCGTGCTTATTTTAGATTTGCAGATGCGGATGAGGATATGGATTCAGATATTTCGTTTTTCTCTGAATATACTTAGTACAGTTGTTAGTGTTATTTAATTCTTTTATTTTGATACATTGTGAGAACCCAAATTTGTCATATTGATGTCTCCCTCTGATAATACGGGATTTGGAAGGTTTACATTTACTTATCTAATAAAAACACAAAATCCTTGATAGTTCTGACCATTTGTTCATTGGAATTAAAGCGAGTACATTATTTATATAAGAGCATAAAATTTTAGTACCCGAGAAAGTACAAAATTTGAGTCTTCGCTTCCAGAATGATATGAATATGACGCACATAGAATGGCTACCGCCAAAAAATAAACAATGCATTTCAGAATATGTCGTTACATGGAATACAAATAACGTTATTATAACGCCTAATACGACAGCTAGTTTAGAAGGATTACACTTTTGTGTAAATTTTACCGTCCGAGCTAAGACAGAGCAGGACTCTGTTGGAGAAGTGGAAGCTTTAATAAGTAATTTTTGATTTATATGCATGCTGTAATATACTCACTGCAGATGTTTGTCAAATGTAACGTACTGCATGACTGATTATTTATTTATTGTCAGTTTATTACAAAATGCTGATTTATTTTGTCGGATAATTGCATCTCTTCTATAGTGTGAACCATACTTCTAGTGATTCAAATTTTATCAAAAAATTAGAAAAATAGAGAAATTATTAACTACAGTTTTCGCAAAGATGTTGAATTCGTATGTGGAAAATTAATCTAAAAATATAGTAACATTTGACAAATATTGCATCAACGAATTTCAATTTATTTGAAGAGCAGCTTTGCATGAGTGAAAATGTTCAAGTGAAAAGCATTTAATTGCCAAAGTTTAAAAAAAAGAGACGAGTATTGTCAATCGAATAAATCTTACGATAACCAGCATCATAAAAATATTCAAAACAATTCTATATTAATAATTTAATTAAAATTACTGTTAATCATGCAGCTCATGTCAATGTTCTGTTTGTCCTTCCACATAAGGAACTCCTACAATTACTTATTACTACCTGGTGGTCGGTAACGATTATTATTATATTATGTGTACAGTCGTTAATAATATTTTTTAGTAGCATAAATTATGTCATAGTCCAAAGGTTCTTTCTAGCATATTTAGAAAGTGTTAATATGGACTAGATTATTTTGCAAAAAAATGATATAAATATTGGTTAATCATTACGTAATTTCATACTTATTAATAATGTTTAGTTCATCTTTTCAAACAATAGTTGCCAAAACAAAATGTATCAAAATATAAAAAATCAATACAAAATATTCAATATTCTAATACTTAACTAATTTGAAAACTTTTGGTGGAGGCGCCAGGATAATTGAAAATTTCCCCTTTTCTAAGAATTTTTATTTTCAATCGATTATCTAGGGTTCCGTACCTAAAAAGGTCAAACCCTTAATATTGAATTAGTCGTTCTTTGTATGTCTATCAAGGAAGATCATTTGGAACAAAAATCTTAAAATAACTAATTTCAAATCAGTATGTTTGTACATCCATCATAAAAATTGATATTATTGATCATCAAACCCAATAGGGCACCTCTAGTTGAGTTAAGACCTTCAAATTTGGATTGAAGAAAGATTGTAGTAAAATTTGGGATAAAATAAGAAAATCACAAGTTTTAAATTAATCTATATGCCCGTTAAACCCTATAGGGCACTTCTATTTGAGTTAGGACACCTTTTTCTTTTTCAACTTGTTCATGTTGAACTTAATCCCATATGAGCATCTTGTTTTTGATTGTGTCATGGTTTTTAAGACAAAACAAGACAAAATCGATATAATTCTTGACAGCTCTACTATTTAGGTACTAATCACTTCTCCACCTTTCCCCCTTTTCGTCTTAAAATCCCGTCAACAAACATTGACTTAACGTAAATCAATCCAGATGTATATAAACTGATTCCCTCACGAATTGATATCTACAAAACAGATTAAAAAGAAGTAAATCATGGAAATTTTAACGATTATACCATCATTTAATTATATTCAAATTTTACCACCCATTTTTACCTCTTAGGGGTTGAATTTAGAAATATCCTTCCTTATTCCGTGTATACATCATAAAGAAAGCGTCTCGCAAAATTTCAGTTATCTAGGATTTAGCCTGGAGTTTATGGGTCAGTGAGACAGGTCTTTTCTTTTTATATAGGTATTAAGAATAGTAGTTTTAAAATTTTTATGTAGAAAAGGGGGCAATACGTGTATGTATAAAATACTTTTTTAACTTTCACTTTAATATGCAAGGTGTTCCAGTAAAGAAAAAATAAAATAAAATAAACGTTTTTGTATTTGGGAAATTCAAACAATACGAATTTGCTCTGCACTTAAGTATTTCTTTAGCTTCTCCCAGATTATTATTGGTTTGTAAGTGCATTGCTTATATTGCATGGGGTTCACCACTCTGTATATGAGTGCTTGGTGCAATTGTGTCGTTTTTGTTTTACTGGCTTTACTAGTAGATGTGGCAGTTCTAAGAAGAATAAAATTTATTGTTTTACATTTAACAAATACAATTTTAGTTCCTGGACCTGTGCTCAATCTAACAACAAAAGTTAATTCTTCGTCAGTACTTCTGTCGTGGGACCCTCCAGAAAATTCGGAATGTGTAGAACAGTATGTTATAAAATTGAACAACCAGTTTATTGGTGTCACTTCGCATACTTCCTATCCATTTATAAATTTAACGTTCTGTATAAGTTATAACTTTACCGTGATTCCGGAAACTGTAGGAAGTTTTAGCAGGGGAGTGCCAAATACATTAAAAGAAGAATTGTACCCTGAAGGTATACCATAACAATTAAGTTTACATCTATTGAAATAATTTTTTAATCTTCTAATAAACAAGATATAGTGCGGGACAGTTACATCAAGTTTTAAACTTTTTAATCACTTTAGGACATTCAATAATAAATTAATTGTTAATTAATGGTTTAATCGATAAAACTTATATACACAATTAAACCACATAAATTTGTCATAGTGGCGTTTACCATGTGAATTGTACCTGACAACTGTCTTTGATTTAAGTACATAGGACAGAATAGTAAAGCAATAAAATATGGAATTAGTGAACACTAACTTCAAAAATTACTTTCTACGGATCTAGTAGAATAATCATAGTTTTAATGACGAAAATTTTAAAATTTGCGCATTTTTCCATAATTAATTACTACAAACTATTTCAAAATTTTGGAAACCGCATGAATATATTTCAATAAAAGGTTTTAGCAAAAGATACATATGGTATACCTCATTGGAAATGTGTATGTATAACTTTTTAGTGTTAGATCCAGTGCAATACCTCGATATTCCTGGTTTTGTCAATCCCGATGAAGTAATTAGATTTTCATGGTCAGTGCCATATTCAGCCTACTTTTGCACAGTAACTTACGAGATTCTGGTAACAAACTATAACAGTGTCAAAGTGAATACAACAAGGACATTTTTTGAAATCGATACCAAATATGTTACTCCATGTTCAGAAATTAAAGTATCCGTAACACCAATTTTGAGGGATGTCGTGGGACAAACAAGAAATGCTTCTATTAAAGTTGCTCCAAAAGGTTAGTGTCTAACAATAATCTAACTACTAACGGGTTATATTGTTATTAACGCAATAATGGACTGATAAATCTCCAAAATAAGTTCCTCAGTTTCAATTTCTAACGCAGTGTCTTGGATTAACTTTAGCTTGTCTAATTACAGTACCACATCCACCCATTCTTACAAACTACACAACGGGTTCTACATGGATTCGTTTTAATTGGAAAATTGATGTTGCAATATATAACTGTTCAACAACTAATTTAATAAATGTTTCATGTGTAAGCGAAGAAAGAGCATTTTCTCTCATAGAAAATGTTACGAAAGATGATATTTCAATTAATAAAACCGAACTTGTGCCATTTACCACTTATCTGTGTTGGGCATACACAGCAAACCTTGCTGGACAATCTAATTACAGCAAAGTAACAAATATTACAACTAATCAAGCACGTACGTCGTCACATTTCGTTAATTAATTTAGTTCATGAAAATATGGTGAAAATGTTTCTAAAATTTCAGCACCATCGAGCCCCACGCATCTCAGAGTTGAATCTTTATCTAGCACTTCGTTTACCATTGCATGGGAACGTCCTAAGTATATACCAGGTCTACAGGGTGATTACAGATTAGAAATAGATTCTGAAGGTCCTCTCCACTATATTCCTGAATTCTGCAATGTTACAAGAGAATATAATTTAGTCTACAGTATTGGTTATTTTATTAGAGAATATAATTTTTTAAAAGCGACACCAAATTTCGGGTTTAGAATACGACTGGCAGCATCTACAGGGGCAGGATTTGGCGATTTTTCGCAAATGTCAATTGTGACACCTTCAGCCGGTATGTTTTTTCACGATATAAGTTAAAATATGGTAGAACTTGGTTATACCGCCATCTTAGGGACTTGGTTATACCACCATCTTAAGGACCGGCGACATTTTGATGTAACCGAGTGTTGTTGTTAAGGATGTTTGGGAGGTACAATCGGAGACATGAGTACATAAAATTAGAAATTCGTGATTAATTAGGTTTTGCAGCATGTCATCAGGTAAATAAATATTATCTATACTAAAAAAGAAAGTACACGGTTTGAGAGAAAATTTGGAATTTGACCAAAAACATTGAATAAAATAAGAAATAACGAATAATAAGGAAAATTTAAACTGACTTTTGGCAGTGAATATTCCTTGATTTCAACTTCGAAACAAAAAAATATTTAGTTTCAATCTCTATTAATAATGAGCGTAAAACTTTTTAATATGTTTAAATAATAATTAAAACTTTAAAATTGCATTTATTTCAGACAATTATAAAAATTATCATTATATTATCAAGTAAAAACGAGATTTTCAGCTAATTTTTCATTTTTTCCTCGATAACCATTTAGTGAATAACCTTACGCTAAAGTGATTCTCCAGAATTCAAGTTACTTGTTATAAAAGTTTGAAATTTCTGGTAGCTTTTTTTCTGTTAATAAAAATAAATTTAATCTGTTCGGTTAACGAATCTCCATGAATGAGGAACGTTCTTCCCCAAATTTTTATTTGTCTCGTAGCATTTTGACATACCTCCGAAACATCCTTAATGGAAGATTGCAATAATACGACTAATTCAAGAATTTTGAGCAATAAAAATATGTTATTGTTGTCTTTATTACCGACTATTTACGTTGGTTTTAATAATAAATTTTATTAAATTAAAAACTGACGTTGCCCTTATAACCAATGTTGTTATAACCAACTTCCACTGTAATTAAAAGCATCCCGAATAAGTTAAATATGATAGATTTACTTATAAATAACTTTAGATCAGCTTTTAATTAATTTACTGGACATTTTAGGGCCCGAACCTGTTAGAGATTTGAAATATATGATAAAGTACTTTCAAACGGAGCAGTATCAGACGGAAATTTATATTTCCTTTAATCCCCCTTGCAATACAAACGGAAATTTAAGTAGTTATGATATAATATTATCAGGATCGCGCTCTAATTATAATTCCTACATATATGAAATACAACTGCAGAAATTGCAACCCATTCTTCGGAATTTGTCAGCAGGATACAACTATAATTTGACCGTTACAGCTGCAACAAAGGCTGGCTCAGGGACGCCTGTTATAAAGCAATTTATTGCACCAGATGGAGGTAATGCAAAACGAAATTTAATTATAGTTAGTCTCTTTTAAAATAAATATAATTTGTACAATAATGTTTCATGAATGTTGTTGAATGGGACAGGAAAGTTCTTGAATCTCTCAATAGATTCAGCTTTTTTTCCCACCATATTAGATAGCGAAACAAGTGTGAAAGAAGGAAACTCTCCAGCCATTTAAGATCCATTTCATCCAAAAATTAAAATCATTGCAGTTTTTATCATTGATTAGGTACTAAATAACAATAACTTTTTATTTTAATTATGATTTATCCATTAATGAACATTTGGCAATGCGAATTATTCAATAATAAATTAATTGTTAATTAATGGTTTAATCGATAAAACTTATATACACAATTAAACCACATAAATTTGTCATAGTGGCGTTTACCATGTGAATTGTACCTGACAACTGTCTTTGATTTAAGTACATAGGACAGAATAGTAAAGCAATAAAATNCCATTTCATCCAAAAATTAAAATCATTGCAGTTTTTATCATTGATTAGGTACTAAATAACAATAACTTTTTATTTTAATTATGATTTATCCATTAATGAACATTTGGCAATGCGAATTGAGGTCATTAAAACTTTATTTAATGCTTACTATTTGTGGTAAAAAAAATTCTTGAAGTCTTCGGCTCTCTCTCAGGTACCCCATCGTTTCACCTGTTATCTCCATCACATACCCCAGTACTACGCCCATAAGACCACTTTGCATTTAGGTAACAAAAAGAAATCGCGGAGAGCTACGTCTGATTACTACAATGAAGATGATTTAATGTGGTGAAAGAATGATGAAAGCACAAGAGGCCACACATATTTAATGTTTTTGTCAACACAGGAGGTCGAATATCTTCTTGATCTTGTATCATCTTCGCAATTTTCTTAGTCCTTATTACTAATATTTGCATGAAAGAGGCTGTTTTTTCTGGTGCGTTATTTCCGTAAACAGCCCTCATTAGTTCATCTATTTCTTAATGTTTTTCTAAGTTTCACCAAAAAGTTGACTGAGTTGCTGTTTCATTTACCGGTTAATCTCCAAAATTCCTTCGTTGACAAGAGTAAAAAATTACAATATAAAAAAAAATAACAACGGCATAAGTTTCTCGTCATTGACGTGGTTACTGTCGGTTTATCTTGATTAATATGGTGATTTCTTTCTTGTGGTTTACCCACCATGACCTCTACGGGCGAGGAATAGAGACACGCTCAAGCAGCGCAAGTAGGCCGAAGCCACCTCTGCCAATCTTTCGAAGGAGGTAAGTAACACCTCCCTAGAATCCTCTGGTGTGGGGGAGATCTATCTAATCCCTGTGGGCTTAGCAGTATTGATACTCGAGCGAAGGTGCATACTCCTCTTATCCATATGAGGAGTATAATCACTGCCACTAGGATTCCAATCTCAGGCACGAAGATTTCAGCCCTGGGACACCCGGATCTTCTCCATACTGGTAGGATGGTTAAAGAACGAATAATGATGATGTAGAATGTAATGGACGAAACACGTGGTTTGCGATTTCAATCTTACTAGATCTTATCATCTCATATTACCCTTGTTGAACATACGAAATACTTCGGTTAACAGCAGGTACCAGTAGATGGCGATGAAAGAGTTGTTTAGGCCAATTTGGGCATCACAAAATGTTGAGATTCTCTTTTCTTATCAGATGGATTGTGAAATTTCAAAATTCATTTGGTGTTTATTCCAGATCAGGACATGTTGAATTTTGTTACATCTAGGTGGATCTTCAATGGCTAGTATAAGCCCCTTCTTTTCCTTTCTAATAATGAATTATACAATCTAATCTATGGGTTAAATCGTAACAATTTACTATGTATATTGAACGGTCATGCTAATTAGTTTGACTTTGACTTCTTTCTTTCCATTTGGTTCGTACTTCTTGCACGAATGTATAAAACTGAATTGATTTTAATAATAATTCTGTTGTTAGAGGTATTTGTGTAGCATTATCTTATTTGTGTTCTGTAGTACCACCGAAAATGCTTGATTCCTTGATAGAACCAGAACAAATTGATTCTGGGACGGCAAAGTTCGTGTTTTCTAATCGTTTATTTTCGGATGTAAATGGAGACATAATTTATTATGCAATAATCTTAGCGGACGCAGATTTTAATGAATCAACTTATGGGTTTTGGAATTATTCTCAAAATGATTGGCCATTTGTGGGCTTATGGAACGATGAAGCGGAAACAATTTTACCTTATCAGGCCACTCCCGATTACTGGAATCCGTTCAGAGGTAAATTATATTGTTTATTGTTTATAAAGCGAAGAGACCGTTACTTACTACTAATTTTAAAGTATCGTTTTGAGATTAAACGTGACCATTTTTTGTCGTTTTAATCTTAATAAATTTACTATCATGGGGGAGAGGTATTTTAATATTACTTAACGAGCCCTTTTTGATAGCAGTAGATGCTTTTCTACATCTAAATTAAGCTGAGCATCTACAAAAATGTTTCACGCAGTTCATTATGTATTGTTTTTTCGATCTGATGGATAATAATGAGGTGATTAATAAATTAATGTAATCATTGAATCACAACAACATTCGTTGCTAAAGGGAAAAATAATCAGACTATTTATTATCTGTCAGATGATGGATTAAATTCGTTCGCAAAAGATTAAGTAGCAATTGCAAATTCAACTGCAATTTGTCCACCGTTTTAATTACAGTTCCATCAACATCATCATCATCCATCACAAGGTCATTAGTCCTAAGACTGGTTGGACCCGTACCTCCACTCTTTCCTATCCTGAGCTAAACTTCGCATTTCCCTAAAACTAGAACAGCCCACATCCTTAACTATTTGCGAACAGTAATCTAATCTAGGTCTACCTCTACCCCTCCTAACTCCTGTTTCTGCCTCTAATATGTCTCTGACTAGAGCTTCATGCCTGAGAAGGTGTCCTACCAACCTATCTCGCCTATTTTTTATTGACTTCCATAGAGTCCTCTGTTCTCCTATTCTTTCCAATACCTCTTCATTTCTAACCTTTTCTACCCACGATATCCTCATCATCCGCCTATAACACAACATTTCGAACGCTTCTAACCTTTTCTTTTCCGCCGCTCCCACTGTCCATGTTTCGCACCCGTACAACGCCGTGCTCCAAACATACACCTTTAACAACCTTTTTCGAATTTCTAAATTAACCTTTCGCGAGCATAGAAGTGACTTCTTTTTATTAAAGGCGACACGACCCTGCGCTATCCTCTGCTTTATATCCCTACTACTCCTTCCATCCTCACTTATTTGACTTCCTAGGTATCTAAAATCAGCCACTTCTTCTAATTTTTCGTCTCCTATCTTTATATTCGCTCTTTCCCTACTTTTTCTTCCCTTGCATATCAGTATTTTAGTTTTACTTTTATTTATTTTCATACAGTACTGAGCTGTCAGTACCGCTTCCATTTTATTTAAAGCTATCTCTAGGTCCTCCTTGCTAGATGCTAATACTGCTATATCATCTGCAAATCTAAGCATACTAATCTTTTTCCCTTGCACATCTATCTCTACAGTTGTACAGTGTTTAATGGTGTTGATAGCGTCTTCGATGTATAGATTAAAAAGTAGCGGTTACAGTTATAAGTTAAAATTAATATAATTAATTAATAAAAAAATATATACCTTTGATAATATGTTAATTGTTTAGAATGCTCTAAGGTTTGCAATTATACATATATACTGGGCGATTCAAAATGTACTCCAAACACGACTTGCAATGGTTCCTTAAGGAAAGATAGAAAATATTCCCTAATTCTTAGAGGTTTTACCCGTCATGGCTACCGTGATAGTCTTCCAATATTCTTCGTCATGTGTGGTAAGTTTTATATGGGTTGACCCATAAGTGTATTGAATACAAAGGGAGATCTTTAGAAAATGTTGAAATGGTTTCTACTATTTTTTTTTTGTTTTTAATGGTAAAAGAACGAATGTTGAGTAAGAAAAGAAAATCAAACAGCAAACAAATACTGTTTCATTATAACTTTTTAAATTTATATCCAAAGCATGTATTTTTTTTAATAGATCCCGCTTCACCAATATTCAAATTGGATGTTGCGAAATTCATTGGTGCAATAGTTGGTGCATTATCTGCATTAACTTTATTCGGATTTATGTATATGATTTGGAAAAAACAAAATCGGTAATAATTGACAAAATACGTAAATTACGGAAAAGTGTACAAAAATTTTGTTTTTTTTGCGGACCAGGTCTCCAAAACCGACAAATGCGGCACCAAAACTGAGTGAAATGGATAACCTGCAACCCATGCCGGTTCCAATTCCAGTTAATAAGTTTCCAGAAGTATATCGAGATTTAAAAGTAAACAGTCAAAAGATTAAGCAACAGTACACTTTGATTAACACGAAAAGTTCTGAAGAAATGTTACCTTATTATGCAGCCTTACTACCGAATAATCGAAAGAAAAATAGGTACACAAATATTTTACCTTGTAAGTACATTGAATTATTGTCGGTCGTATTTATTCAATGTTGAACTGAATTGCTGTTAAATAATAAAAAAAAAGAATGTGTAGGAGTAATGTAATGTTCCTTTTTGGACCTCCGATGTTTCTAATAAATTAATATAACTGGTCAACGTGGATCAAGAAACTACAAGCAAAGATTACTGCAATTTCACATCTGACTTGGTTTACGAGGCTATGATCTCAAAATTGACTCGAAACATCAGGAGTTCGAGATATTATAACCACAAACTCAAAAAAAAACTATTTTTAACCTTTTTGTGATCATTGTTACGTGAACTAAAAGGTCAAAATAACAAAGGGAATGATCATTTCCGACTGGTCTTTTATTTTCTTTACCTCAGCACATCAATTTTGAAATTGTGTCCTAGCTTCAAGATCCAGATGATGCTAATTCGGTTTGTGTGATTTTTTGATAACGATAACCTAAAATTTCAAGTTCTTCATCGAAAATTAGACCTTCTTCGAGTCGTTTTTTTAACTCTTCATGGTAGTGGCCTGGAAACAAACCCAATTAGCATTACTTGGATCTTGGGGTTAAGATACTATGTCAAAGTCTACAAGTGCAGAGGTAATTTATATAACTCAAGACGCTTTGAGTTCCATAAAAATGACAGTGTGAATATTCATTCCTAACTCTAAAACGCCTGAGTTCCATTATAATCTTATTACCTATATGTAGGAACATTACGCACCATGTTAATTTTGTCCTCTGGTGCGTATGTTATTTTTCACCACCCCTTGGCCTTGACGTCCAATTTTGTTGGGTAAACAATCAGCAATTTTTTTCAACGAGAGTATTGGAAAAAGAATATTTGCAGTTAGTCACAGAAATATCTATGTTTTAATTACACTTTCTATGTCTGTTCATTCTGCACGTGTTTGTCACCATGTTTGTTTTTAGTTGATGAAACCAGAGTGAAATTAATAAACGAAAAGGAACCACGAAACGATTACATAAATGCATCCTTTATAAAGGTAATGACTTGTTCGTAATCAACGATCAAAATCCATTCTAAACTCAACAGTTTTAGGGTTATTCGGGTAAGATTGAGTACATAGCAACACAGGGGCCATTGGCTTACACGTGTGCCGATTTTTGGAAAATGATAATCCAAGAAAATGTTACCGTTATTGCGATGGTAGCGCACTTTGTTGAGATGAATCAACCTAAATGTTATAAATATTTTCCGAATAAACACGAAAATATGGATGTCGGTGAAGGCATTGAAGTACGTTGTGCAACAGAACTTAACTTTGGAATGTACTGCTTAAGAACATTACTCATTCAAAAGGTACTTTTTATATCCAATGCTGTGTTGAAAGGTCGTAGGGACACGCATGTTTGCTCCTGTTTTAAATAAAAGAGAAACGTTTGCTTTTCTAAAATGCCAGGGAGTCTGTAACAAGACGTCCCCGCAGATACAGTACATATATCTACTGATTTCTGTATGGACCTCTAGAATATTGCTATGTTCTCGAGGTCGTTCATTCGGGAAGACGTCCGGGAAAATTTTATGTAGATAGCGGACGTTAAAGTTGGTCTCACAATGGTAGAAAACACTGATTCAATTAGTCATAATAAGTAGAGTATGTGCGTTCGTCTTTGGGGCATATGAGGTGCATAGTTAGGTCAACGATCCAAATTTCATATGTGGCTAAAATTTACTCTTATGAATAACCAATTTAATTTTATTTTTGGCCAGTGCCAGATAATTGGTATAAAATCCCCTTTTGTATGTGTTTTCACTTCGGTTTCCACAAACAGTAACTCAGGGTCCTAACTAAATCCCTCATGACGTCAAATGCCAAAGACGTACAAACTTTAGCGATAAATAATAAAATATTTTGGGAAACTAATTTCATTATATCTTATTTTCTATTATTTGAAGGACTTGAAGCAGTGGACCATCACACATCTGCAGTTTCTGGACTGGCCAGATCATGGTTGTCCTACAGGAACTGAAGTCATGATACATTTTTGTTATGTATTGAGACAACATATTGCGAAGTTGCCTGGTATTGTTGCGGTGCATTGCAGGTTGGTTATTTTTCCTCAGTATCAAAAATTTATCAATTTTTGTTTTAATTAATACTATTTCTTTAAAAAAATGACCTCTGATTACATGTTAAATAGACAAAAAAAAGAATTTGAGCTTTTAGATCCCATCAAAAAAAAGTTACGTTAATTCTGTTAGCATTTTTGAGTAATAATCAGAGCCATATTGGAGCGGGGGTGTGATGCCCCCCCTTATGTTTGGGCTGAATGTCTGAGTCGAGAACCCCCCCCTCGAATTATGCTTGATACGATATTTCGATTCTTTCAAGGGAAAAATGAAGAAATACATTTATGAAAAAAAATCACACTTTATTTAGCTTGAAAAAACATATCCAAAATATGGCTACATCCTAAATACGTAACTAAAACTAGTCTTAAAATAATTATCAGACTTTAAAGAAAAAGAAAAACTTAAGTATTTGTACGGAATTGTATATATTTAATAAAAATAAATAACTGTATAAGTACTTTGCGTAGAATTTGAATGGTGTTTAAAAATGGTAAAAATGGCAGTATATTGACTGAATGTTCTCTTTTTTTCACAGCGCAGGAGTTGGAAGAACAGGCACATTAATAGCAGTAGATATGCTGCTACAGGCTGTTAAAGATAAGAGAGATATCGACATATTTGGCACAGTTCTAAATTTAAGAAGGCAGAGAGCAAAAATGGTACAGACTGAGGTAATTATAAATGCTAACAAAAAAAATTATACATCGTTCAAAAACAATTTAAACATATTAGTAACAGTGTTCTGTTACAAAGGTTGCGTTATTTGAACTTGAAAAAAGTCCAACACTTAAAAACAGCAAAAATTTAAAAAAAATGTAAATGAAAATCGGTGTCCAAAAGCAAATGTTCCATTTTATGCTAAATACCAAAACACATTTATTTTCTTTATTTATATCAGTCAATTAAACAAGAGACTGAATTATTTTTGGTTCAGTTGATTTAACTTTTTGGGTATTATTTTCCAGAAACAGTATTGGTACATTCACAGTTGCATTTTTGACGTAATAGACAACCCTAAGCTTTTAAATTGGGGTAAGTGTTTTCGTAAACAACTGTACAAACCCCTAATACGGCTGAATTGAGTTGATTTAAGTTTTGTTTTTTTTTTTTATTATAGAGCAAGCAGAAAATGAAAGCGAGCCTATTTATGAAAATTTAGAGGAAGTTAAAATAAATAGTAAAGAGAGTCAATTGTGACACCACTCCAACAGGGGTAATTTTAATTATTATTCGTTGCACTTATTTGTACATAATATTTATTACTTTGTCTAGTGCAACAGACTAGGTAATGTACATAATTATGCTGTAAAAAGTTACGTATTAATTATTATATATTTGTATTATTTTTTTTGTAAATATTTTATCAGTATTAAAACGATATTCGTTATGCAACAATAATTTATCTTACCCTGTTAAGGAAAACTTAATATCTTACAACTAAGTTTAGTAATACTGCTTGTAAAAATATCCTTTTTTTATCTTAACTAAATAACTAATTAATTACTTAATATATGCCTACACTGGTTTACTTAATATATATACCTATACTGGCAATTTAAGGGATTTATAGGTAAACTGCAATCATTTTGTCTATTAAACGCTCAATAAACTATTTAAAATGAGTGGGAAATTTAATAAAAAAAGTTAACTAAAAACTTTTAAATCTCAAAATTATTGTAGATTTCAATTAATAATCTTATTTATACAAATATTGCTGAAGTTAATTTTAACAACAGAAGATATATAGGATCATATTCATTTAGGACAACAAACAGCCCTAAATTTGGTTGCAGGATAATCTATTTTTGCAAACTTTATTGCTCCATAACTGGAGGACCCCAACTGGTAACACTCTGTTTTGTATAATTCTCACTAGAATTAGGTGGAACTAAATTATGATGGGGAACTATAGGTGTTAGGTCTCGTCTATGAGTTAACATCATTGGCATACTATGAGGTGCAGGGGTAGATGGAGGTGGAGGGACCATAAATCCGGTGGACGGTGTCATATATAGTGAAGTCATTAAATTGCAATTATTTTGCTGATGGTCCAAAAATCCTGAATTGACAGAGAAAGGCGGCACATTGGCAATTTCTTGTTTATAATCACTAACACTAGCATTGTTGTTATTATTGCTTGATTTAGAAAAACAACCACTTTGTGATTTGGTTTCATTCTTTAATAGTGGTTTCTCTGTTAGAACTGCCCTATTGCCATTCTTTTCATAATAAAATCCCATATCAAACATAAGTCTTCTCAGCGTCATTAATGAAAAATTAGGTAATTGAGCATCTGCATTTACCTTCCTCAAAATTGTACTTAACGAAGGCACTATGTTTTGATGTTTTAAATCGTAAATTATATTGCGAATAGACTGACGAATTTGTTCTCCGTATTTTATGTCACGACTGTTTATATTTATATTTTTTCGAGTCTTTGTTTTTGAAGGTTCTTTAAATCCCCTGGGACTTGCTTCCTCTTTACGAAATTGAAAAATACTTTTTTCACTGCACCCTGTGGCTTTAGCTGTTCGTCTAACAACTTCAGTAACACACAAATCTGGATAATTCAGTCGAAAATATTTAAAAACATTCATTATTATTGTTTTTTCTTTTGAAGAATACGACATGCCCTGTTTCATTTTCACTACCTCTGACATTTTTAGTGTTTTGTAGTTAACTGCATCACAAAACATAATTATTAAATTAAATAATTACATTAAGAACCTTGGACTTTGAGAATATTAATTAAAAATCCATTTTAAAGTTACAGTTGTATCTTTTTGTTTACAATTACATAACCCTACTTATTAACCTTCATATTATTGTTCTCTGTAACTATGGCTATGTTGAGTATGTACTCATTCAGCCACAGCTTTTTATACTAAGCCGCCATATTTGATTCTTATACTAAAAAGGACTTAATGCGTTTGAAAATACATTTAATAAAGAAAAAATAAAAAATACAGTAAATAGACACATCTTCCTGTTGATAATTTACAAGTATTGTAAAGGTTAATCACTTTACATTATACTGAGTACAAAACATTAACTATTACAGATTATTACTCATGGAATCATTAAATATAAAATTAGAGATATCTATATTCAGAAAATAATAGGAAAAACATGCGTTTAAATGCACAATACTTATCATGTTTAATAGCAAACACAATATCTAAAAGAAATCATTATAATAATACCTGTTGGGGAAACATTTGCTGTTTACAATTTTCGTTATTCGACGACTTTATTTTGTAAATATGCATAATGTTCTACTATTTTATTACAAATAAGTAATGACTGGCGTTTATAGGACAGAAAAACAGTTAATAAACGTTTCATCAAAACTTTTAAAAAATTTCAGTTTGAAAAAACTTAAAAGAAATTATTATACATATAGGTCCTTAAGGTAGAAAGTTATAAAGTATAAAAAATGATGATATGACTAAAGATGAAACATGGTGTACATTTATAAGGATATGAATATGAAAAAATGGGGAATTTCAATGAATTACCTTACATCAATGTATGAACTGATTCATTAATCGTTTAACACATTGAAGGAATGGAATGTTTAAGTAGATAGGTATATTTACGACTTTTGCTTCCTATATGAAAGAACCATCGATAATGGCAATGTTCAGATTTAAACAGTCAACAACAAACGTTTAGAAACAGTAACAATTACCTTATGTGCCCCATTTATCACAGAAATAAGCAGTAACATTAAATATTTTTCATGATTATTTTTATTATTATTAGTATTATTGTCTCCGATGTGATTTGTTTTATCTTTCTCTGAGCATGTTATGTTACTCGATGAAATAATGCAATTTTGAATAATTTTACTCAATTTTATATTAACTTTTGATTGGCTGGTAATTATTAGCATATTTAGGCCACCTTTTATAATTAGACGAACTTTTTCGACAGTAAAATAGATAAATGTAACTACTAAAATGGGTTTAAGGAGAAGAAAATACTGTAGCTCTTTTTTTCCGCACTTAATTTTATTTTAAAATAAGTAAACACCTAATTTAAAGTCTAACAATTAAATATTACTCACATCTCCTCTTTTCTCATTAAATTTTACAGTTTTAAATTTCTGTTGCCTTTTTTATTACTACATTTTTTCCTGGAATCTGTATCACAGAATGAACTAAAAGTTAATTTCAAACTTTAGTTCATTTTATTTTTTATTTTTAGATGAAAGCCATATATCACACAAATGACAATTGGTGATAAAAATTGTTGATATGAATAGCAATTACTTATAATATTACGCATAAAGGTAATTCAGAATCTCATGGGCCATGACCTTCATTGATTTCTACCTCATAAAAACATTAGCCGTCATTGTTAAACGGATTTCGCGGTTCATGATACTTTGAATTATCCTTAATATAACTTTTTTGGCATTATTAGAACCTTAGATTAGAGAAAATACAGAAACAAACTGTTTACTGATCAAAGAAAATGTTGACATCAACGTATGTATTTAGATATATTTCTTCTTTTATTGGATCTTGGTTTTAATCAACAAATAGCAGGCACATAACCGAACCTAACCTTCCCCTAATGTTTTCCAAGACAATAAGTACGTATGCACCTTTCTTCATCAATATCTATTATCTTTAATTTCAACAAAAGTTACTTTCGGTCATTTTGTTTTACAAGTATAAAACGCTACTGTTTACAAGAGTTTTATTATTTTACTTTCGTATTAAAAATAAAGCGGGATTTTCTCAATTCTATAACAAACACCTCCAATGACAGTTAGTAATATAAAGGGTGGGTTTTGTTCTACTTTCTTAAAGGATGCCACATCGCGACGGGTTTTCTGAGGGTTGCAAGCATTTGTGTCCAATGAGTTAAGGGTCTACCAGTGGCTTGCGCCCCGACAATAACATGACCCACCACTGATTGTGAACTGTTATTCTCATTTGATATTGCTTCTGATACTGTTAAACGTAATTGGATTGTCTGCAAAGTAAAATAACTTCTGATATGGAGAGAACAGGTATCTACCTAATAAAATTCTTTATTTGTAAAAGAGTAAGAGTAGTTTTCGTGCGATTTCTGTAAAAGTTATGAAGATTGGAAAAACTTTGGCGGTTGTTGTAGAACAAACAGAATAGCTCAAAACCCCAACTCCAAAACACGACACTATAGCTGTCCGAAGCACTTTTCGGTAACAAAGTTACCTTCTTCAGGGACTGAAGTAAACTGAAACCCTAAGGATAAAAGTCCAGTCTTAGAAAAGTCGGGGATATATGAAATTAGTTGTAATGACTTTAGTAAAAAATATATTGGACAAACTAGACGCTCAATCAAAACTAGATTTAAGGAACATCTAGCTCATGCTAGGTTTGGTAGAGAAGAAAAATCTAGTGTTGCCCAACATATTTCTTACTGATGAACATAATATTAATATTAATAATCTTAAGTTAGTTAAGGAAGTTAGGAATAATCGTTTACTGGATAGTTTTGAAAGTTTATACATTTATAAAAATAAACAAATTGTTCTTAACAATGACAACGGTCTTATCCCTGGATCTCCGCTATTTAGTCTAGTTTAATTACGTTCATGATTGTTAAGGTCCATTGAACATCTACCTTGTTGGCTTCGGGTCATGTTCACTGAACCTTAACAACTATCAGTGTAGAAAATACTACAAGCGGCACAGTTAGCTAACGTGCTTATAACGTTGAGGTTGGCTACGCCAGGATTCGTTTTCAGCAAGTAGATATCCGCACAAGTGGACCTTGTTGAAAAATACGTAATCCTAAAATGTAGTATCGTGCTACAGATGGCGCTCACTGTGCCGCTTGTAGTATTTTCTGAAACGCACTGTTAAGACAGCAGGTAAAAGTTGGTCTGTGTTCTGTCGAAGCTGCCTGCGACGCGCTGATGAGATCCAAAAAGATCGAAATCGCGATCCGCGTCTGGCAGTTTCGATAGAATACAGACCACTTCGAATTATTTTAAACTATCAGTATAAATTAGGATTAGCTCCCATTTAGGTTTAGTTTACTTCAGTCCCTGAAGAAGGTAACTTTGTTACCGAAAAGTGCTTCGGACAGCTACAGTGTCGTGTTTTGGCGTTGGGGTTTTGAGCTATTCTGTTTGTTCTCTGTAAAAGTTAACGAAGAAAATTGATTTTTTTAAGTTGGTATAATATCATAAAGATGGACGGTCAATTTTCCATGATTCGATAAAATTAAAACGTTCTCGCTACGAAATAAAGGGAAAATGTAAAGATTGAATATCTTACCTGAAGTACGTGAGCAGGTACGTTAAATATTATCGATTCATTAAATATAGGGCACCTCTCGCCTTTCTTCGTAGTCGTTTTCTTTTTACTAACTTTTTTACCGTTTTGTAAGAGGTACACCTGGAAAATGTTATTAATAGCACGATATTCTATAGCTCACAGTTATTATGAAACGTACTTTTACAAATGGGTCCCCTGCTTCTCTTTCATTTTGAAACTTTAAGTGTCTCGCTTTTACCACAACTACAGTCAATCTCTCTGCAGTTGGTAGGTAACTGAGTGAGAAAAAAATTTCGCCAAATTCCGATGTTCTCTGCAAAAGTGGATTTAAAATTTTTATAATGAAACTGTTATAGGATAAATAAAATATTGAAAAAGGGGAGGTTATTCCAGAGATCACAAAAGTAGGTGCAGGGGTGTGAAAGTAAATCCCCTTCGACCCTAACGAACTCAGCCATTTTATAATATGGTAACGTAGGGTTCTTATTCCTGTCACTTTACGAAAGACTTTTTTTTTGATAAGATAGATAGCATAAAAGTCTTTGATAAATTCAGTCAGGATTCCACGACCGTTGTAGGTACAATGTGCCTTGTTACATATGTATGCAAACTTAATGGCTAACGTCTTCTCAAGGAATTTAATTTAAAAACGCCTGAGGGACGCAATGTCCTTGGAATAGTAGCATGAATTATTTAAGTAGATATTAATGAACTGTGTAATAGAATTAATTGATTATTTTCATTTTTAAAGCAATTTCATTTCTTTTTTCTCCTTTGTTAATAAACTTGCGGGGGTTGAATAAAAAGAAGGGGGTAACTATTGATGTTTGGCCTTCCATCGTTACGGAGTACTTCTTCTGCGATCCCTAGGTTATTCAATGTGTTCTAGGTAGAGATGTGCAAAATGGTTTTTTAAAAGTATTTAAATACAAAATGCAAATACTTTTTTAATTTGTTATTTCAAATGTAAAATACAAAATAGATTTCCCTTTGTATTTTAAATGCTAAAATGCAAAATACGTATTTTCAAAATAGTTTTTTCCAATAAATACTTTTTTGTAGTAGGTATCTATTTAATTTTCCACATTTACTTGAGTAGATATAAAATATTTTTTAAGAAAATCTTGCAGGCTTTTGCTCATTTTTTAAATAATGGAGTTTTCCTAGACTAACAGTGGTATTTCCACTATATCACCAACTGCGCAGATTAAGAATGAGGTATAGTTTTTCTATCTTTATGTTATAGTTCAGTTCAGCAACAAATATTTTTCTATGTGCTTCCTTATTTACCTTTTTCACCCGTTTTAATTGGAAAATAGACACTGATGACAAAATAGTTTGCTAAGCGTGAAAGATGAGAGCCAAAATACGATTACAAATAATTGATTAATGTAAAATCAACATCAATCAGTTTATATCAAAATACTTACAACCCCATTCTGTTTCTGATCTTTTACATATTGTAATAAGAGAAATAAATAGAATCCATAGTTTCTTTAACTTTGGGGTCATCTAATAAGTGATGTTTTTCGAATATTTTTCTAAGAATTTTGGATTATATGCATTTATTAGCACACCTCAATATATTGTAGTTTTAAGTTTTTATCAATTTGGAACTTCAAAATTCCATGGACCTTGACATTGAACCCGGAAAATAATATCGATCCAATTCAATGTTTTAGATTATCCATTTCCAAGGAGTTTAGAATTTTTTGGGTTCTCTAATACCTTCAATAGTCAAAGTGAGCAACTTTTATTCATCATTTTATATAATGTTTGATCGGTGATACTAGCAAAGCTTTTAAAGGCAAAAATGTATTTTGCATTTTACAAATAGAAAATACATTTGGAAAAGTATTTTAAATAAAATACAAAATGCTTTTCTCAAAAA